GGCCGGGCTGCTGCTGCTGGCCGGGGACTGAGCCGTTCAGCGCGCCCGGGGACACCCGCCGGAGCCGGCACAACCCGGAGAGAGTCCTGCACCGGCCCCTCCCTGCGGCTACACGTCGAACGCTAAAGCGGCGCAGGGCTTCCGTGTAGACGCCGCACGTCGGTGGGAGAGCAGTGGCTGGGCTAAGGAGGGAACTCCGCTGCCTCTCCCAGTGAGGGAGTTTCACATGCCGCAAGCGGGCTGCTACACGTCGAACGCTAAAGCGGCGCAGGGCTTCCGTGTAGACGCCGCACGTCGGTGGGAGAGCAGTGGCTGGGCTAAGGAGGGAACTCCGCTGCCTCTCCCAGTGAGGGAGTTTCACATGCCGCAAGCGGGCTTAAAATCTGGTTGCAGGGGAGCCTACCTAGGCAGAGGCTGGGGCCATGCTATTGTATTGCACTTTTGAGTGAGTTGCCTGGTGCTGAGGAGTAGTTTGGGATGGCTCTTGAATGACTGAGAAGTGACAGATACTATCTCCACCATGTACCGGCACTTGGGTGTTCATATCCCCACTCTGATGTATTTCAGCGCTGGCAAATGTCTGTCACTGAGCTGGGCTTTCCTGCCTGAATTCTTGTGAAAGCTTTGGATTTGTTGGAACAGAAGAGCAGATACAGAAGCAGCAGCGGGGACAGGTGGTAGGAGCTGGGTTGCATGGGAGCCAGATTTTAAGCCGGTTTCACTATCACATCCCTAAATATGACACGTTCTGTGGCATAAACTCGCTCAGGTACTAAGTGTCATTAAATCCTCCTCACATTCTGCTGTCAGGTGCATTTCTTTGTCCTGCTTTCTCTAATGCCAGCTCAGAATAACACCTCCCCCCCATATCAAACAACACTGCAGGTCTCTGCTGGGGGCAAGTTTGAGAGACCAGTGCGCGTGCTTAATGCATGACTGGAAGGGGCTCAGATACAGCAATTCTGCGCAGAGGATAAGAACATGAACAGAAGAGAATTCTGTTTACTGCTAGGCTGCATCTAGACTGGCAAGTTTTTCCGCAAAAGCAGCTGCTTTTGTGGAAAAACTTGCCAGCTGTCTACATTGGCCACTTGAATTTCCGCAAGAACACTGACTTCCTACTGCCTGAAATCAGTGCTTATTGCGGAAATACTATGCTGCTCCCATTCGGGCAAAAGTCCTTTTGTGCAAAAGGGCCAGTGTAGACAGCTCAGATTTGTTTGGCGCAAAAAAGCCCCGATCACGAAAATGGCGATCGGGGCTTTTTTGTGGAAAAGCGCGTCTAGATTGGCACGGACGCTTTTCCACAAAAAGTGCTTTTGCGGAAAAGCGTCCTGCTAATCTAGACGCTCTTTTCTGCAAATGCTTTTAACGGAAAACTTTTCTGTTAAAAGCATTTGCGGAAAATCATGCCAGTCTAGACGTAGCCCCCCTGTATTGCTTGTGCTCTGATTACAGGGCATTGAGTCCAGCAGGGCTGACTGCATATACATAGAAAAGTGGACAATAGCCTCAGACAGCCTGTTATGGATATTTTGAAAGATCAGCTGGGTGACCTCTCTGAAGTTTTGACTCCAGCTGTGCTGAGTTCAACAGTCTGGCCCATAATTGAAGAAGGGGGGCATCCGGTGGGAAAAGGGAACTAAGAACACTGAAGTGGCCGAAAGGACAGACCTGAAAAATGGGGAAGGAGGCCAGGGAACCAAAGGAATCCCCCCATCCTCGGAGGTAGTGGAGTCTGGACGAAGCTAGACTTGTCTAAACCTGTGGGTAATATAGATGTGGGTGCCAGCTGCACCCTGAGGTACCTAAGAGTGGGAGAAGCAGAGGATTCTCAGCTGAAAGTGAAGGGGCAGGGAGGAGAGCAGGGTGCACTAGACCTGTGACCAGGACACCCCTCTCTCTGATCCATTCCACCGTGAGCTAACCCAGCATGGCAAGAGGTGGGCCGCAGGACTGTTTGCATCCTTCTGGCAGGAAGCTGGGGACTGCTCCATACTGCAGGGGGCCTGGGTCTGGTCCAGGCTGGCAGAAAGTGGGATACCACCCCACTCCATCCAGGGCTGATCCACCTCCCTGATAACAAATGGCTTCAGGAGCTGCTGTTCCTTTGTGGTGCTGAAGATGGAGCCCTCCCTCCTGCTGAGCACAAGCAGAGATCCCGCTGGGGCAGGGGCTGTCTCCCTGCTTGTGCTCAGCACTGGCAGGGGGTAAAGACTTTGTGTGCTGGACCCAGTCCTGCTCAGAGCCATGCGGCTGGTTCCCTTACTCTGCCAGGCTCCCCCAGCACCTTGCTTTAGGGGGCTGTGTGCTGTATTGCAGGCTGAGTGGCGTGGCCAGGCACTTGGACCTGTGTGGCTGAGACAGCTCTCAAGCAGAGCAGGAGCTCAGTGCTGTACCCAGTGGTTGCTACTGCTGGCTCTCTCCACTGGCTCCCCCCATCGCCTTGTGGGCCCAGGGGCAGGTGGCTTCTCACATGAAAGGTGACCTGCTTCTAAAAATCAAGGGGGAGAGGGGGATCTCGCAAACTCAGGCTGAAAGTGGGAGCCAAGAATGAGCTAAGCAGAGATAGCTCTGCTCCCCGCTGATCTGCACACAAGCCAGTGGTGTTCAGTAGTGCCTGTGAGAAATCCAGCCCTCAGTGCCTACAGCAGGTCTCCCGCTCAGTGCCTGCCAGGGTGATGGCTGGGTCCCTTCCGCTTCATGTAGCAGTTTGCCCACTAGCTGCCTGTCTCCTTGGGCCTGTTTCTGCAAAGGGGCTCTGAGCTCCCCAAGGGCAGGGGGTTATCATGGGATGGCCAGAAGCAGGCCCGGTCCCGAGTAACACATCTCCCAGCTCGGTCTGATGGGGGTGGGTTTGCTGTGGGCTGACAGCTGCTGTTCCTCTCATGGTGAGCTTGCTGTGACCCCTGGGACAGGGTTTCCATACCCCCTCATACTGGCTCTGCAGGGGACAGGTGCGATTGGTCCTGCCTTGGGCAGGGGGTGGGACTTGATGACCTCCTGAGGTCTCTTCCAGCTCTCTGGTTCTAGGTGCTGCTGCTGGCTGGCACATCAATAATGCAGGAGTCCCTGGGAAGGGCTCTGCAAAGGCCAATGCAGGAATCTGGATGCAGGGCTACTGCGTGGCAGGGAAAGGGTTAACCCTCTTTGCTGACACATGGAACAGGGACACGGCTGAGGGAAGCCTGATGACCAGCTGTGCCCAGGGCCCTGTGTGCTGGTCCAAGCAGCCTCGGCTTGGCAGCAACCCAGTAACCCCACACGGGAGGGCCAGCCGAAGTCCCACCTCCCTCTGCCCCACGCAGCACTGACCTGAGCTTGCCACTTGGCCCAGCCCTGGCACCCTGGGGCCTAACAAGGGGGCATGGCCCAGCCCGGCTCCTAGCCTGGAGATGGCTGGCTATGCCGGGGCTGCAGGCAGGAAGGGCACCTGGGTGGGAGGCAAGTCCCTGGCTGCAGCGAGCTCAGCGTAGCCGGGCTAGCGATGACAGGGAGGGCTGAACTCAGCTCTCGAGATCTTGGCCACAGAACTCTCCCCTGGGAAAACCCTCCAGTCATGTCCTGGCGCTGATCAAACCACTAGGGTCAGCCCCTCAGGCACTAACCTGTGACCAGCTGGTGGCAGACGAGATGCTCACGGTTCAGAAGCCGCAGCCTAGGCCCTGGCCCAGTTTCTGAGTCTGCAGAGGGGTCTTGCCTGGGGCAGTGCCAGGCCCAATGTGAGCGGGGGCAGGGCTGGGCACGTCTAAGGCAAACACCATCACTGGGGCCCAGGGTCAGGGCCCGGGCCCTGCTCAAACCCAGTTGGCCCCAAGCTCGAAGGCTCCCAAAGGTGTTGCACACTCACCTTAAGGGGGCTCAGCCAGGACAGTCCTATCACACAGCTCTTCCCTCCCCCGGCAGGGGGCTGCCAGGAGGCCAGTGGAGCTAAAAGCCACTGGCTTGGTGAGAGCTGTCAGGGACCCCCATGGCAACAAGGACCAGGGAGTGGCCCAGGTGGCAGCAGGGGCAGGAGGCCCTGCCTAGGTACTCCCCACGCACCCTGAGGCTCACAGGAGAGCAGGGCTCTCTGGTTACCACAAAGGACTCCACACCACCTCCACAGAAAAGTGCAGCCCTTGACCACTTTCCAAATTCTTGGAGTGCCCCTCCCCCCCAAAATTATTGCCCTCCCCTGGTCTGAATGATACAGATTAGAAGAACATATCTATTTTTTCTGCTGAAGCACAAATTAATTATATAAAAACAGTCCTGAGCTGTCTGCACTGGTCCTCTTGTGCAAATATATTTGCACAAGAGGGCTTTTCCCCCCCAAACGGGAGCAGCACAGTATTTCCGCAAGAACACTTACAATCTTACATCAGATCGTCAGTGCTCTTCCGCAAATTAAAGTGGCCAGTGTAGACAGCTGGCAAGTTTTTCTGCTTTTGCGGAAAAACTTGCCAGTCT